GGGAAAGAGAATAGAGAGCCCTTTTTGAGGTTTATTTATTTAAATCTCGATCATGTAAGACATGAGATCTTGATACCCAGCAAGCTTATATTCAGATCATGAAAATGGGAAAACAAATAACAAAAATTAGGTCCATCAGGAAAAAATTCTCTTTGAAGTAACAAAAGATGCAAATGATGATTGGTTATGGGGTTAACAGTATTTTAATATGAACGTTGTCAGCATTCTTGATTATTGGTCGTTTACTTTATGACAGCCCATCATAGCTGTTCCTGCATTCATGTGTGCTGATGCATTTAGCAAGTTCCTTCCTTTGTGCACGGGCTTTGCTGCTGGATGTATGATCTGGATGGTTGTTGCGGAAGTGCTTCCTGACACTTCAAGGAAATTTGTTGTATCTCTGGATATATGAATACGTGGCTCGATACATTTTGGATTAGATTAGGTCTTTGCATTGAGCATTCAAAATCCTTGACTTAAGCCTCTATGTATATACATTGACTAAACCATCACAAACCTGCACCCCTGCTATTCTTACGAAAGACATGGTACATGCGTTGGAGTCGATACATGATAAATGCAGAGCATGTCTAGAAAGAGGCAAGAACTGTGTTGGAAGATAGCAAGAATATTTATGTTTTACTAGTTCGTTCTCTTTGGTTTTTTCCTGGTGTCCTTAACATAATATTACCATTGTTCATTGATTAATTAGATAGCTTCCAATAATCTTTTGTTTGAAACATGCGTGCCATTTCTAGGCCTACCTTTTAGACTTAATTGGAACTTTTGGACAATTTATGAACAAAAATAAGATTGCTCTTTATCCATTCCATTTAAAAAATAACCCCACCCATTCCCCTCGAAGAGATAGGGAACCTTGAATCCTAAATGTCAAAAGGCTTCAAAAAAGTTTAAACTGAATTTTGTTCACCATTTTAAGTTGTTTACTTTTGTTTTATCAGACTAAGTTAAATTTTTCTGGATTTTTGTATCACAGGAAGCCTCTCATCCTCAAGTGGCCTCAGCAGCTACAATTTCTGTAGCATTTATGGAAGCTCTCAGCACAGCTTTCGAGAATGTCATCCATGACTACAGGTGAGTTGCTAGGCACTTTACTATGGGTGTGGCCAGAAGTAGTAAAATTGCATTATGTTTCAAGTTTCCTTGTTGTGTCACGTTGACATGTGCACTTTACTGATATTGGATTGCAATCATTGCATGGCATAAATGCTGTCCCCTTTTGAAGCCCATTATATCTTTCGCTGACCAGGTTGTGATGCCTTCTTTGGTTGCAATTTATATTATACTGCAGTTCAGGACATGTTAACGACATTCAGCTCCAGCACCTCATTTTTAATAAGGAGAATCATGTCTCCCCTGGGAATTTCATGTAAACAAATCCATAATGATCCAAATAACTGCTTTTGGCCACGTATAGTAATCTAACCCACCCAGGTCATCTTGATTGCATGGAACATTTTGGCCATCTGAAACCTTTTGCAAGCATGCTTTCAAAATTTCGTTGTACATATAATTGCTTTATAAGCTTAGGGTAGTCAACGCCTTAGTTATGAGATGCATTTTTGCATTTAGTTTCTTGTAACACAGCCTTGGCCTGCATGATTGGAGGGGTTTTTTAATAAAAAATGGCCCGTGTATAAGTAGAATGTACCTTCCCTCCATGCCATAAAAGAAATGCTCTTGCCAAGAAGTTTGTGAGGTTATGAGATGTGTCAATCCCAAATGAAACCTCGCCATTGTGGTTTCTGTGTTGATTTTGCTCATTTTGTAGCCTATTTTTGCTTGTTTTGCTCATTATGTATTTACTTGTATTATTAGTTTCTGTCATTTCTGTATATTGCAGTTCAGAAGATGTTTCAGGCTTCTTTGTTTCATTGCTTTTTGGTCTTGGGCCATTGCTTGGTGGCTTCATTCTTGTTGTTTTTGCTCTTGCATTCCATCTTCAGCATGCCCTCCTCATGGGTGCTTCATCTGGCATTGCCTTTGTCCTTACTGCATGGCGACCTCCGCAGCTACTTGTGTCTTCAAAGATTGGGTTTTCCCCCCTCATATCTTTGCTTGCACTGGGAGCAGCATGTGTCCATGTTTCAAGCTCCAGCATTATGAAAATTGCAGGTCGCAAAAAGGCATCAGTGAACAATTTACCAACAGTAACGGGCTTTCCAGCGAGTGTTCACACAGTTCAGTCTTTCTTGTCCTGTGGAGCGGTTGCCTTTCATGCATTGGCTGAGGGGCTTGCATAAGGAGTGGCTGCACCAAAAGCTTATGGAATTGGTCGGCACATGGTCCTTCCTGTCTCCTACATGGACTCCCTCGCGGTGCAGCTGTTGCTAGCTGCATCTTCGGTGCTACTGATAGCCGGCATAGTGCCCTAGCAGCGGCAACTTTAATTGGGTTTGTGGGTCCAATATCTGCTATAGGAGCAGTACTTGCAAGAATTGACTACAGTGGTCTGGATCATGTGATGGTCTTCGCTTTTGGTGGATTGCTCCCTAGCTTTGGAAGCATAATTAAAAGAGGAGTAAGGTTGGATACGCGGAGAGGGGTTTTCGGGCTGGCAGTTGGAGTGGGGTTTGCTAGTTTTTGTTTAACGTGCACTAAGCTGGTTTGCTTGCACATTACTTGTTGCAATTCTGCTCCTGAAGCTGTCAGATGAGATGATCTCCTGTTATATTCAATGGCAGAGGTGGCATGCATATGCTGCAGCTAGCATTTTGACACAAATGATAGACACAAGCATGCATAGATAACTTGGAGAGTACGTGGATATGAGGAGATATGAAGGAAAGATATGGTGGAGGATGTGCCCTCTCACGTTGTACAATAATTTTTCTCATCAATTTTTTTAAAATTTTTCTATTCAAATTTTCCTCAAGAGAAGAAAGAAACGTTTGTGGAGTTGGCTGATTACAGTGGTCTGATTCACTGTTTGAGAGAGTATTTATTACAGAGACAAGAGCACCTTTGAGAAAGAATCCACGGTTGGATGCGTGCATGTATCAGGCGTGTTCTGTACTTCTGCTTGCAGATGGGCACATTTATAACTTGATGATGAAGTTTCACTGCATCTAGAATGAATATATAGATGCTGTAATTCTTTTGCCTTGACCCATCACTTCACCCTTGTGTTTAAGAGAGTGAGAAATCCATGTTTTCAATGCAGATCTAAAAAGTGTTGTGAAAGAAACACAAAAAGGAAAGAAGGACTCTTTTCCATCATGGACGCACAGAGAGCATAGTTTCTTCTCTCACCAACGCCACCATCAAAGGTCTATGACTTCTTGCTTGCCCCACCAACTTAGCAATTGCCAAAGAATCTCTTTGAATGATAACGATCAATGCTCAGGGAAGATTAGCAGAAAACGAATTGTATCTAGGTCTGTTCATGTTTTTAGTTTCCCTCTACGTCAAACATGTTCTCCTTGCTTTGTTCAAGGCTTGAAGCAACGTCCTTTCCCTGATGGTGGAAACACAGATCATACACGCAAATATGAAAAGGATGAACCTCTTGTTTAAACAGAATAAAAAAAATAAAAGAATTCGACAACATATATGATTCAATCTCTCAACCTCTATAACTGAAGTGATACTTTGATATTTAGACCTAAATATGAAAAAGATGAACCTCTTGTTTAAACAGAACAAAAAAATAAAAGAATTCGACAACATATATGATTCAATCTCTCAACCTCTATAACTGAAGTGATACTTCGATATTTAGACCTAAAACTCCTGCAAAACAATATATTTCAAGGGGAATACAAGCAACAGGTTCACATTCAGTTTGGCGAGCATCAACAGATCGTAAAATCCCCCAAATGCACCTAACATCTAAGATTTCCACAAAACCTAGATAGACTCTATTTGAAAACTTATTCACGTGAACCATGTGGATCAAAGACAACAAAAGTAAGCATGCTAAGCAAAAGTAACCGTGAAAACTGAAAAAGGTTGATCACTTGAAAGTCGACTGTTTGCTCTTCAACTCCTCACCTCCATCAAGCAGTTTCTCCTTCTCCGGAGCAGCCGATCTAACACCATCAGCAACAGGTTTCGATTCTTCAACACTCTGAGACCCCGTCATCCTTGCCAATATGACAAATGTCATCCCACCAAGAACATTATTCAAGCACCTAAGAACCACAACCGATGACTTAAACGCAAACGGAGGAAGTCCTTTGGCCAACAAAAACTCCACCCCATTCAGTGACTGGTACCTGAGATTGCTACTAACCCCCATATGAATCGCCCAAGTCAAGGCATTCAAAACAGTCGGAGGTGGTTTATTCGGCGTCTCAAAGCTCGGATCCATCTTTTTCCTCATCTTAATCAACCCATTTGAAAGCTCAGTCCCTACCAAACCAGCAGCAAAACCAACAGCTGCAAAAATAATTCCTTTATAAACAAGTGTACCAAGTCTACTCATCAAACTATAAGCACCTGGCTCAAACATATGACTGGTTGGACAATTTGCGAAGATCGCAGGCAATGTCTGACTAGTAGCCGCCGCGGTCGGCGCAAGCAAATACATCAAAGTAAAATTGAGTATAGCACCAACAACCAAAGTCGAAAAAACAAAATCCAACTCATTAAGACCAAAATTCGGCCGCGAAGCCATATCCCCAAGAATACAAGAAGAAACTCCAACAACCTCCTCCATCAACACCTTAAAAGGGAACTGCGGATCCGCCGCCACCCGTGATCTCCACCCATTTAAAAAAAGACCCAGAACCCCAAACCCCGCCGACGACGACGATGAATTGTCAGAGCTCGAATCACCACCACCACTCCAGTTTCCACCATCTCCACCGTTTCCACCGAAGGTTCCTCCGGTTCCACCGCCTCCGGCATTTGAGGGGGTGGGTGGTTTGGAAGGGAGGAGGCGGAGAGAGGGGTTAAGAGTGTTGGCGGAGGGGAAAGAGAGAGAAGGAGAACTAGGGTTTGGGAATCTGGGGGTGGTGTAATTAGTAATGTATTGCCTTGAAAATGCAGAGATTCGTAGCTGGGCTGCTGCCGTTTCCATTTTTTTCTGATTTTCAATCAGAGCTAAGCTTTTTAAAAAAGAAAAAAAAAAAAAAAAGGTCGACAGATTAAAGGAGGATGAAAATGATAATTTACAGATCTAGAGTGAGTGATCTTGAATATTTTAATAAAAAATAAATTAAAAATTGTACCTGACACCGGGAAGGAGATTAGCTGATAAAATCAGCGGGGGTTTAATGTATTTATAAGAAAAAATAAGGAGAGAGAGATGGCGTGGAGAAAAGCGGCTGCCACTGCTGCCGCCTATTGGAGGAGGGAGGGAAGGAGGGCAGGTGGAATGAGGTAGTTAGGCTTTTATTTATTTATTTATTAAAAAAAAAAAATCGTGTAGATGTTACCCTGTAGCTTTATTCATAATATAGCTTTATCATTTTATCTTTTATATTTATAAGATTTTACTTGAGTAAAATGATTTTTATATATAATTAGTTTTTTATTCTTTATTTATATGGAGTTAATAATATTTTTTAAAATTTTATAACAATATAATTATTATATTACATTTAAAAATTTAACAGTAAAAACCTTTGATTCAAGTGTCTTATAATAATTTTAATTTTTTAATGAATAATTGAATTACTTCATTATTTTTATTATTAAAATTTGTTAATCTTGGTTTTAGAGACTTAATTGTAATTTCATAATGGTTTTTTATTGTTGTTGTTTAGTCCTTGGGAAAAAAAAAATTACAAATTAATAAATAGTGTGATCACTCCATTATTCTTGATATTTAATTTGTTTTATCATTGGTTTTAAGGATTTGGTTTTAATTTTATAATGGTTTTTTTGTTATATTGTTTAGTACTAAATGTTTTTTCATTTTTGTACAAAAAATAAAAAATTGACGTGTGCCTCACACGTGTCGGACGCTCTATCATCTTCAAGCAATGCATGCAACTAATTTTGGTAATTTAAATTATAATTCCGCCGCATTGTTAAATTTCTTTCAACATTCTCTTCCTCTTAGGATGGCAGGTATGTGGTGATTGGTTCTAGTTTAATATTAATTTTCTTTTTTTTTCTTTTTTTTTCATTCTCTTTCTTCCATAGATTCCATGATAGCCATGTAAAAAATTATATCAACTCTTTAATTTTTTTTCTTTTAATTTAGTTATTCTTCACTTAATTATAATTGTTTTATTTACATTAATTATATCTAATTGAATTTTATTTTTGATTTCATCTCTAGTGGTTTGATTTTGTTAATTTTTTTTATCAAATTTGATCTTTATTTTTTTATTGCTATTTTTTTATTTTGAATCATTTTCTTAATTTATTTTTATTTCAATTTCATCCCTAAGCATTTATTTTCTTTTAATTTTTATGTCAAATCTAGTCCTAATTTTTTCTATTAATATTTTTTAATTGGTTTTTTTTTAATTTCATCTCTAAACATTTAGTTGCATTTAATTTTTATGTTGAATTTAGTCTCAATTCTTTTAATTTCTATTTGTTTTTTTTTTTGCGTTATTTTTTTTTCAAATTTATCCTTCAGTATTTGTTTGATTAAAATTTCACTTCTTGATTTTTTTAAGTTTACCTTTAATAGGTTCATCTCATCTCATGACTAAAGTCATTAATATGAAAAATTGACCCAAGTCAACATTGATCTTTTTTAAAGCATTTTTTTAAAATATTTTGTGCCAGTATATTTTTTATGGTATCCTATTAATAGGGTCATCCTAATTTCATATTCTAGATCATATGTTTGATTTGTTGACCTGGTTGGTTATCGAGTACGCTCGAGATTTTTTATATCTTTTTATCATATCAAAAGGTGTTCAATTTTTACATTTTATTGATGTCATCGACCTTATGTAATATATTTTATGGTTTGAGTTTATTCAATTAATTTCATTTGTATTTATTGTTTATGTAATGAGTTTTTTAGGGTGCACTTATCTTTTATTTATTTAAATAAATTTAAACACAATCGGGTAAATATCTTATTTTTGCAGTTTGTTTCTTGATTATTGTTGGTGATTTTTTTTATTTACATAAATAATTATCGATTTTATCTAGTTACATGATTGCATAGGCTTTTCAATTAACACTTTGAATTTTTCATGTAAAAATAACACTTTGAAACAATTTGTATACCTGATATTTTTTTTTGAAAAAAACTATAACCCTTAGCAAAGCCTGAGTTAAATAGCTAGCATCATACTATTTTTTTTTCTCATTTAAAAAAATATATAGACACGATACAAGTATTTAAAAAAACAAAAGAAAAATAAGACTTGTTGACTTGATTTAATTTAATAAACATGATTAATTTAAAAAATACAAATAAAAAACTAAATTGATAAAAAATTGACAACTTATAAAAGTTTTTAAAAAAAAACAAAACTTTGCTCGAGCCCATTCGGGTTAGACTTGGTTATGATATCGAGATAACCTTGTCAAAAGTAAATTGAATAAAACTATAAAGTTTAGTAATCAAACAACTCAATATTTAAGGAAAAAATTAAAAAAAAAAAGATACAAGTCAACTAGGATTAAACCGCTAACCTTGTGACTATGGGCAAATAATTGGAATAACCTATTAGAAATAAAAGTAATAAAATAGAAAAGGCAATAAAAAAAAAAGCTCCAAAACATGATAGCAATAAAAATAATAAGGACTAAATTTGATATAAAATAATTTAAAATCAAATATTGAAAGATGAAATTGAAAATAATTTTTTGTTAGGAAAATGATATAAAAAATTTAAAAGAATAAGGATCAAATTTGATATAAAAATTAAATGAAACTAAATGGTGAGGGATGAAATTGAAAAAAATCAATAAAAAAGGATTAAAAAACAAATAGCAATAAAAAAAATAAAGATCAAATTGGATAAAATAAATAAATAAAATGACATCTTTATATTTTAACAAAAAAAATACAAAAAAAAAAATTACATTTAAGCTTAACAACTACATTGTTGTATATACCGTCAGGAAGATTACAATAAGGTGCTTCCATCATTGTTGTAAGAGGTGGTTTTTGAATGGGGGGCATTGCTCACTCTCTAGCACGTGCGTTGTACATGCCAATCATTTTTTTTTTAAATTAATGTTTTTATCTAGGAAAGGATTAAAATACCCCTATGTGAACTTGTTAATTACTAAAAAAATCAATTTAAAAATATAAAAATGCCCTTGGTTGTAAGTTTTAAAAAATTTATCTTCGAGGGTATAATAATCTTTACATTATGCTTCCAAAATATAAAAAAACTAAATTATCCCCACTCGAATAAAAAGCTAACAAAATTTGTTTTTTAGGATAATATAGTTTTTGCATCATATTTTTGGAAGGTTAAAAGACCAAATCATTCCTAATTAATTTAAAAATAATTAATTATCCTTACTTGAATAACAAGTTCAGTGAATTTTTATTGGAATGATAAAATAATAGTTATATTATTATAGTGAATAATGATGCATCTAGTGATATGATGAATTCACCTTAGCTTGACTTTTAGTTTTTTTTTTTTCAATAAACCAAGATAATTGCTTAGATTTTAAAAACTAAAATCTAGAACCCTAAATGCCAAGATGAAAGTAATGGTCCAATAATAATAGATAGAAATATGTTTAGTCTAAGGTTCTTATTTGTTTTAATGGTGTAATGTGATGTAATCTCTCTTATGGATCAATCATATATTTAATAGTTTTTAATTAATCAACACATGCACAATTTTGTATAATTTCAAATGAATACTCCCTCTCAAAACCTTGATTTTAAAAAAACCTACAATTTATAACTTACTTCAAGCAAAATCAAACATACACTAAATATCAAAAGATAAAGATATGAAAATAGGTAGAAATGGGGAGATATATCTCTTTTCTCTTAACTATATTCATCAAATTAAAAAACCATTTAAAAATAGATTACAAGAAAACCCTTCACTCCAAATGCTTTCTTTCTTTATTTGGACTACAAATTAGAGATTTTATTTTCACAATTTTAATACTTGATATAAACAAAAAACAAGAAGAAAAGCTTGGCAATAAGTTAAAAAGTCTGATTCAAATAATCCAACAGATCATGCTGCAGGCACACCAATAGCAACCCTCATCCCTGATACTGATGCGGTGTGCAATTTGCCCGCAACAGGCAACCCCCAAATCCCACGACCAAGACAGGCGAGCAAGGACATGAAGCAAAGCATCTTATTTGAAGACATAAGAGGTGGCACATGGAAGAGAGTACAGGTAGAACGAGTTGTATCAGCTATCATCATATAAATTGATCTTTGCAATGGTCAAGCTCAACATCTCTTTAAATGATATTATGCATACCTACCCTGAGAGTGTATATATATATATTGTCAAATGGTTGGACTATGGCATTAGCTTTGCTAGTTTTGTTCCACATCATTCCAAATATAGTGGAGCCTCGGGGAAAAGATTGGAAGGCTCTAGAGTCTAGACAAAGAAAAGACATTGAAAGGGGACCATAAATACTCAAAAGTCAATAATTTATCACACTAACAAAAAATGACACCTACAAAACTCAGATCCATCTAACACTTACAACATTGATATATATTCCACACTCCTCAAGGTTACAACCACAAGAATAAATGCAATGAATATATTAAGTTTTACACAAATAAGATTGACCTTAGCAAACCTAATTCAAGAAACAACTATATAATTCTTGTTTTTTTTTTTTCCTTTTTTCATTTAATGTTATCCATTTTGGTCCCTTTTGTCTAGGGGAAAAGAAAAAGAGGAAGAAACAAAAAATAAGAGAAACCCCCCAAGAACGAGCACCAGCAAGACTGTTAGCCTAATATCTTTGTAAGACTGCTGAATTGAGATGTGTTGGATGGCATACTCTGGGCATGAGTTTCTGATATAAACCAGTTCAGACAGGTGTGGGAGTGCACATGAGCTCTCATCAGCGTCCTGTTTTCGCACGTTTCATTCCACTTGTATTGAAAGGAGAGACACTGCCACTGGGCCCTGGACTCTCTTCTCTGAAATTTGAATTTAGCATTGCTAGCTCACGTAGCTGCTGCCTCTTAATAAAATCTTGTGACTCATCCTGCAGAGAAAAATAATTATTTTACAGAACCAAGGGGAAAGGAAATACTCTTCAGGTTCAAGTCCCACTAAAAGGGGCAGGGGGGGTGAAATGCATAAGAAGAACATGATGAACGGAGACAGCCTATCACTACTACTTGTGTCAGAGGAGCTAAAAGGCATCATGAGCCAGAATGTCGTTGGTGGACACTCATGTTTCACTTATTTCCAACCTGATATATTCAAAGGCATCAAGGGAAACTACTTCTAGAAAGGATAAATTCTTATGGTTACTGAGAAAACAGAATATATTTGCAATAAGAATACAGTTTCTAAAGCAGAAGTGGGTGATATCTTCAACTAAAAGCTTCATATCTCAACCTTCAAGGAAGCTCCTCTTCACTTTTTAACAGCAAATGCAAGAACCTAGTTCCTCCAGATTTGAGTGCCAATAGTATTAATTTGGTCCACAAACCTTGAATATGAACTGAAAACCTACATTGAAGTGAAACACAGAACTCTCAACTTGTTTGCCATCACATTTGTTTCCAGACAGACTAAAGCCTTGGAAGGACTACCATTTACCAAAGAGGATGAACAGGCTCCAATTATTAGATTTGCAGCTAAACACTAAATTGTAGCACAAAGCATGCAAAAGAACGCCAGCGCACCACAGTGATTAAAAAAATTAGAATTTCATGAAACTTTTAAACGAAAGTGTGAAGAAAGGAGGCAGATACCACGGGTTTGAGCAGTTCTTCTATAATTTCTTGTGCCTGTCTGAGTCTTATGTCAACAATGTTTGCAGGTAAGTCGGCCTCGATTAAGATGTGAAGTGGATCATTCAAGTGCTCATAGCCCGGTCTACCCTTTAGCTTCTCTTCCTTCAGGATGGAACCAGATGAAAATAAGTAGTAGCAAACTCAAAAGGTATTAAAAAGGACAAGATTCTACTGGTAAGTTTGCTTTATTTTATTGATCAGTTTTGGCTGTATCATCATTCATTACAGGGAAAAAAAAAAAAAACAGGTTTCAGTAGCACTAAAGTGAGGAGTGCGTGTATGTTAACACTACCTTGTCTGGATCCTTGATTGATCCTTTCCCTCTAATGTACACCCGGCAACCAGTGGTAGCTTCCACCCGTTTCAGTGAATTGCCTCTAGGGCCCAGAAGTCGGCCAACAAAATTGAACTAAAATAGAGAAGAAGCCAGCAAATGTTACCAATTAACAATTCTATTTCACTGAAGGAAATTGTGAAGATATGCTCAACCAGTAAAATTTAACAGGACAGCACCAGAACTTGGTGCAACTTGCAATACATACATTTGGATAAGTGTCTACAGGAATTTCCAAACGCAAAATTCTCTTCACTGTGTATGAACTAGGGCTTGCAGGTGCACCTTGCCAGTCCATAGTCATTCCAGGAGGTCCGCTTAATCTCTGCATGAAGAATTTAACAACATCAGCACGCCACAGAAGTGGAAGCACAAAGGATTGTTATCAAAATTGTTAACAGAAATAATACATTGAACCAGACATAATATCCTCTTCAATCTAAAGCTTCTCCAAGTCATCAAATTAGTAGCGAACCTATAACACTAGCTATCATGCCACTGATAAAAAAAAATGAAAGCGGGAAAGAAAAGACCGCAGCTCTGTTATTACGCACAGCATGTTAAACTAATGACACTTGTTATTAACCTGTTACAGACCTTAGGTTATATAATCAAATACTAAGATGACACCTTGCCAAAATTATGATAGACTTATTTGCTATCCGCGCTTTTTATAATTATACTACAAACTTACGAAAGTTTGGATTTAGAGAATGAATCATCATTTGGATCAAGAATATTAAGATGAAAGCTAATTTGTGAAAACAGTTGTGAAGAGGAGTGTTAAGCATACAAGTGATCACAATAAAACAGTTACTCAACAGAATATTTGACATTTTAAGCATGTTGGATTTCCTTCCTCAAACAACCACAATTTGCATAGGCAGCACAATCTTTTGATTACAATAGCATAGCAGCTGGGAGATGCTTTCTGTCTTAATTTGAACTTATTTCCAGGCGACTGCTTTCACAGTGGAATTTGACTTTGATAGTATGAAAGCTAAGATCAGTTTTCAGTTATCTCAAATTGAACAGTAATCTAACATAACCACTTTCACATATTTCTACCAACATTAAAAGTGAAATAGTTGGGACACACAATTCTGACATTCAGGTCATCAACTTGTTGAGGAAAATTTTAAATGTGGATTTCACAAGTGCTAGTAAACTTGGTGCAACATGAAAAGTTATTGATCCGGGTCTATTCATTAAGAAGAATCATGCCTATCATGCTGTCTCTACGCTTCTCAGCATTTGAAGTATGCATAAACCTGGAACATACAATGTCAAAGTCTATGTAAGATGAGCTCTTATGGGCTTTTAGGCATGACATGGTGCAAACTATCAGCTGGGTCCCTTTTCATATGTGGAAAGCTTGAGTCCAATTTCAACCTCATGCCACGGCAGTAAATGGTTTGCACTCCAATTTAAATGCATGGCAAAATACTCAAGATGCAGTTGGTACAACACCTGAAGAAATGGTTCAGATTGAGGAACTTAAAACTAGATAAGGTACACACAAGTATTTTAGGTTCTCCCAATAAGATCATTGAACTAAGAGTTTTGCTAAAGATGACACAAGAACACTTGTGCCATACAGTTTAGGGAAAAAGTTTCTTTAGCTTACGGGAAAAACATAATAATAATAATAATAATAAAGTAAGGCAAAGAAACAGCCAGTAAGTCCATGTCTCTCTGTTACTGATTTCTCAAGAAAAAAAGTCATCAAATTAGTCACTACTGCACTAAAATATCCTCTTCTTGGTAGCATATCAAATGTTCGAAACAATAGCAACAACAAGCTATAGAAAAATACACATGGAAAAGGGAAACTCAAAATCCAGCAAGAATGCTTCTTTACATTCTTCGAATCGGAAGTGTTTGTTTTCGTGATTGGAATTGCTTTTTGAACTGCTTTTTACCTAAAAAGGCATTAAATTAATGCTTTTTTAGGTGCTTTTCAATGGTTTTGATGAGATGATATCAAAAATGAAAAAATAATTGAAAAAACATCATTTTGATGCATTTTCAATTGAAAAGCAATTTTGAAAAGCATTACGCACCACATTACCAAACACACTTATGAAGAAAAAAGCAGAAAATGAAGTTAAATCATTAATCCTACACAAAAAACTACTTCTTGGTGACATTCTAGCATCTTGCAATGCTATTAAAATCCAGAAAACATTTTTCACGAGAAGTTTTAGCAACATCCATTGGAAAATGAAAATTCAAACCTTTTCACTAGTCACCTCATCTACCCGAAATACAGGCAGGAATGACACTCGAATACCAAGTTAAAGTGGGATCCAAATAGATAACTAAAAAGTGAAAGCAAAATAACAGTAGAAAAATGGGATACTAATTTGAAAACAAAAGAAGCAATTACCTCCTGAGGAAGACCATTCCAGCCACCTAAACCTGTCCCACCAACATTGGAGATAAGGTTCGAAGAAGCCATTGGACTGGGACTTCTATGCCGTAGTCTGTCAAAGTCTCCAAATCCTTGGTTGGACATCATTCCTGATACCCGGAAAATTTCTACACATAAAAAGAGTATTTATTTAAGAGAGAGATCCAGAGTGATCTTAAAATGAAACATCACTAAATGATGAATTGAGGCCATAAGAAAAAAGAAATAAGGTAACAAAAAAATAGCTGAAACACAAAGCAAAAGTGAAGAAGAAGAAGAAGAAGAGCAAAATGAATGCACCACATAAGTTGTGTCTCTGATACAATGATAATACCATGAAAACCTTTGGTCGAGAAGTTAAAAAAATATATATATACTTCAAATCAGAAAGGGGACCAACAGAAGACAGCTATTCACACATTTCATGTGCCTGTAACAATTTCCTCTACAGAATCACAGCAAACCAGTTAAGAATGCCTGCGCAAGAACTTAAAAGCTCTCAAATTTTCCAAACACAGATCGTGCACACAATTTAATGCCTGACGCAAACTAGTATAAACATTTTATGCTGACAGAAACTGCAGACATGAAATATTGAACAACAACGGTCTTTATTGATTTTCTTCCTCCTCATAACCGTACATGTTTAGTGATTCAGAGAACCAACCTAAAATTAGTTAAGACTAACTCTTTTATATAAGTATATGCCTATTTTCATGCACTCAAGATTAATCCAGCCCCTTCGCTAGCTATAAGGCTTTTAGATGGTATCCAAGTTCATTCTGCAATGCTGCCTGAACCAGACTGGAGATGTTAAATTGCTAATAACAAATGAACTGAAAACAACTACTTCCTAGCCATACAGCCAAGATTACTAACACAATCTCACAATCAGAGTGAGATGATAGAAAAATACACATTCGATACACTAACCAAAGTAGATAACAGTGAAAATCAGATGGTAAGAACAGTGAAACACATCTAAACACACAAAGAAGCATATTGAAAAACCAGAGTGATGAAATCAAAGAACATGTTAGTTTAAAAGGAGAAAATAAACCAACAAAAAATCCAGAAAAAAACTAGATCCAAAAATGAAAGCCTAAGAAGTGAACCTTGATTTAACAGTCGGCTACATATTGGAAGAATTTGCATGAAAGGTCCAAGCTTTTGATGTTCTGCTAATAACTCTGACAAGTACTGACTGCAAAAGGAGAATAACAATCAAAACAGATCAAAACAACAAAAGTCTCTACTCAGACAATACAAAATTGAACAAAAATAAGTAAAAAGACACTCTGACAAGTACTGACTGCAAAAGGAGAACAACAATCAAAACAGATCAAAACAACACAAGTCTCCACACAGACAATACAAGATTGAACAAAAATAAGTAAAAAGACTGAGTCTTTTCCCTTCTTTTGTGAGAAAGAAATGATGGGGTTTACAGAGAGAAGTAGCTAAGCTTGCTTACCTGTCAACATCTGGGGTGCTTCTAATCTGAGGAGAAGCAGCTCTTGCAGGTGAAAAGCTGGGATTATACAAGCCTGACATGGATTTTTTGGTTTGCTTTTGTGAGATTTTTTTGTTTTTTGTTTTTTGTTTCTTTTTTGAACAAACAAAAGAATATTAAGACTGGGAAAAGAAAAGGCAAGGAACGAAAGGTAAGGGTTTTGTTGCAGAAGAAAAGGGAGAAACACAATACCATCAATAAAGGAGGAGTGAGTTTTGTAATAATAATCTCCCCCAACAAAAACAAAAATAATTATTTATTAATACTCCTAATAATATTTATCAAAAAATAATATTAATAAAAAAAGAAAAGGGTTTGCAGCTCACTAGTCTGCTCTCTCTCTCTCTCTGGACAACAGAACTATCTTGCGAAATCTTGCAGGATGTAAAAATACAAAAGTGCTCTTAATTTTTATTTACCATGTTATTTTCTTTTTCCTTGCACATTTCTTGCTAGTGGCTGGTTGCTAGTATGGCTTATGTTGTAGATATTATTTTTAAAGTATTTTTTATTTAAAAATATATTAAAATAATAATATTTTTTATTTTTTAAAATTTATTTTTTTCATTAAAAACATTTTAAAAAATTAATTTAAACTAAAAAATTCAAAAATTTATAAAAATATCAAATATAACTTAACAACAACAAAATAATTATCAGTTTGTCTACGGCTTTTAGTTTTAACTTCCTCTGTTCTCATTCAAATTCAATTATTAAATTATATAAATAAAAAAATATATTAAAATTTATTTAATTATATAAAAAAAAAGTAAATTTTTTTGTAAAAAATAAGATAGTGGTTGTGTAAAAAAAAAATGAGAAATTTTCACTGTAGACAAAAATGGGAAATACAGAGAAAATAAAGAGATCGTTTGTCTTCTTGTTTTTGTGATGGCTGCTATGTATTTTTTCAAATCTTTTGGTTATAAATAGTAGCTATAGTTTAACTTATAGAACTGCTAAAAATAAGGTTTAAAATTTTCACTGTAGACAAAAATGGGAAATACAGAGAAAATAAAGAGAGCGTTTGTCTTCTTGTTTTTGTGATGGCTGCTATGTATTTTTTCAAACTCAATAATATAGCTTTTGGTTATAAATAGTAGTTATAGTTTAACTTATAGAACTACTAAAAATAAGGTTTATTTATAGTTTTTGGTGAAGTAATTCTTTTATACCTCTTGTCTAGCATTCAAGTATTTTTACCTGTTGTGTTTAAGTTATTTTTTACTGTTTCAGCCATGTGAATAGTAAAAATGAAACTTCATTATTTATATGAATAATTTTTATTATTTACATGAACAATGAAGTTATTTTTTATTATTATGGTCAGACCAGATCTGATTTAAAATTAAATATATTAATTCGCGTTCGATTCAATGAAAAAAAATTAATTTATATTTTTAATTATATTTTATTTGAAAAATTATAAAGAAATTACTTAATAATATAGTATTTGCAGAATTTAATCGTGATTCTAATTTTATTCTTAATGATATTTTATTTTATTTTGTTACGTGAATTAAATATATTAATTCGCGTTCGATTCAATGAAAAAAAATTAATTTATATTTTTAATTATATTTTATTTGAAAAATTATAAAGAGATTACTTAATAATATAACATTTGCAGAATTTGATCGTGATTCTAATTTTATTCTTGATGATATTTTATTTTATTTTGTTATGTACTTAAAAAAATCAAGAAAATTATAATCATTGTTTGATAAATTTTGTATATAATGAAATTACAAATCATTTAATAAAACAATAAAAAAATATTTGATGTTAATATTATTTATTTTATGATATAATTATAATAATTAAATCTATAATATTAAAATTAAAAACCACCAATACTAATATATATATTTTTAATTATTTTATAACATTAATTAAATATATTAAATTATTTTTAATTTCATCCACAATCTTAATTTTTACTACATGTACTGTAGAGAGAGAGGAAGGATCTTGTGGTGGACATGTGTAAACCATGCAGGAAATCAATCAATGTCTGCGTTTTGTATTAAAAGGGTCCCACAACAAGTAGAGCGGCCATTGCCATTTGATAATGATATTGCCAACCCAGTCTGAGCTGGACTGGACTCGCTCTTCACTTTATTATATAAACTGCGTCGTTTGATTAGGTCTTGATTGCGTTCTTTCCTATTATTACAATACTATAAAACGTGTTGGGAAATACTATAATTTTTTTATATTTTTTCTCTGGTTCTTTTTACTTTTGTATTTTTCTTCTATATTTTTCTGGGTTATATATATTTTTTTCTCAAAATTATCTTCTTTTTTAAAAAAAAAATTATAATATTAAACTTTATACTATAATTTTTTATTTAAAATATTATAAATTATTATAATAAGCTATTTAATACATGCATTGATTCAAAGAAAAAAATGAAATAAAATATGATAATAACACTTATTTATTATTTATTTATCAATACTAGTTCTAGTGTTAATTGTATTATTTAATCAATGAAAATAATATAATACAATAACTCAGCCATTCTCAGAGAAGAAAGAATACGTTGCATAAGAAAAGATAATCATTGTAGTGGCTTTCCTCTCTATATAATTTTTTTATAATTTATTTTTTAAAATAATCTTTGTTAATTTTTTTTATATGAAGCTGAATGAAAATTTTGTTTCTTAGATTTTTTATTTAAAATATTATGAATTATTATAATATTTTATACCATAGTTTTTGTTTTGCTATATGTGTCTTTAAAATTATCTTTATTGATTTTATTTTTTTAATATTTAACTAGTTGAGAATTTAATTTTAAGTTTTTTCACTTGTTTTTTTTACAATTTTTTCATTTTTTTTGCTTTTTTTTTTCCAAAATTGTCTTCTTCTTCTTTTTCTTCTTCTTTCATATTTTTGTGTTTTTTTTAGAATTTTTTTTGTTGATTTTATTTTTTTTAATATGGAGTTGGTTGAGAATTTAGTTTTGTTTTTTTTCTTTAAAATACTATGGATTGCTACTGTGTTTCCCCACATGATATTTTTTATGATTTTTCTTCAAGAATTATCTTTATCGATTTTATTTTTTTCATATTAAACTGGTTGAGAATTTAGCTTCGTAGTTTTTTCCTTCAAAACACTATGAATTATTACAGTGTTTCTTCGCATGATTTTTTTAAATTATCTTTATTAATTTTATTATTTTAATATTGAGCTGATTGAGAATTACAACTGTATATTTCATCATAAAACACTATAGATTGCTCCAGTATTTCCCTACAAGGTTTTTTTTCCTTTTGTTTTTTTATGATTGTTTCTAAAAATTTATTTGTTGATTTTTTTAATATTAAACTAGTTAAGAATTTAGCTTTATAGTTTTTTTCTTAAAAATATTATGGATTGAAACATTTTTTCTCCATATAATTTTTTTCCCATAAACCCATGATAATACACAAGCATGCCACAAGTTTACAACATTGTGTGAGCATGATATCTAGTATTCCAAGGAAATATTGTTGAGAACGATTTTTTTAATTCTTATTTCTTCATGTTAGAGTTATTAAGAAAATAAAAATATAGACATTACTTTTATTTGATGCTTTTAAAAGTCATCACAGGAGTGATCCTATATCCATGTTTGAGATTGTGTTTATTTTTATTGTTTATTTAATTTTAAAAGATTATTTAATTTTTTAAAAATATTAAATTAATGATTTTTTATATTTTTTTTAGTTTTGATATAATGACATAAAAAATAAAAAAATATTTATGAAAAAATTATTAAAATGCATTTTTAAGAGAAAAAACATTTTAAAAAAGCATTATATATCACAATATCAAACACATAAATGCTTGTTTATTTCTACAGCCATGCCATGCTTTTTAAAAAAAATTGATATTTTTTTTGCTTTGAACTAATTTTTTTATGTTTTTTGATTATTTTGATGTATGAACATTAAAAATATTATTTTAAAATATTTTCAAGTAAAAGTATTTTAAAAAATAATTATTATTATAATATTAAGCATTATCAAAAGATATGTTTGTGATTGAGGTATGGTTAGGTTTTTTTGGTGGAGTCCACGAGAAAAATAACAAAAAATATGTATTTTTAGCTTTTAGACGATGGTTGTTTACGTGGCTAACCTGCACTTTAAAAAAAATGATTTTTTTCTTTTAAAATATTTTTTCGGTGTTTTTTAATTGTTTTGATATACTATTGTTAAAATTAAATTTTTAAAAATAAAAAAAAATATTATTTTGATATATTTTTAAATAAAAAATATTTTAAAAAAAATTATTATCACAATACTAAATACTACCTTAATGAAGTGTGATTTTATGTTTTAAAAGAATTGTAACTACAAAACAATTAATTTTATTCCACTGCATCTTATTCTCAAATACAAATGATCTCAAAATATGAAGTATTGTCATCTATAGCTTTGTGCGGTAATCTTTACATGTTATCAAGAAAATATTTGATAAAATAAAAAGTTATTTCATAAGAACACTGATATAAGAATAAATTAGAAGAAAATCATGATCCATAAACAAAATTTATAACGATGATACAAAGTAGGTTTTGCTCCCTTTTTCCCCCTGTGTACACACTTCTTTTTTGCACTACCAAGATTAATTCGAAATTTTGCAGTACATAAAACACAGGTTGTACTAGGTTTTGGGCCGCTCTTCATTATGGGACACATAAAAATCAAATAATTGCATTAAAAATATAAGTATTGTTATTTTTACCTGTATATGATGAAATATCTGAAGTAATGATTAAAAACGCAATTAATATATCAAAATAAATTAATTAACCATCATAAAAATTAATAAATGGAAGAAAAAAAAAGTTAGTATGGCTTGCCCGACAAAACCAACAAACAATAAACTGCTTGCCTCACTTGAATGATGATTTAATTATAAATAAATATCTTTTTTATTTTAATAACCATAACTTAAATGTGAATATAAAAAATTTTAAAAGATTAAATCAAGAAAAAAATAGGATTTAAAGTGAAAAAAGAATGATAAAATGTATTAACCTGAGTTAATACGTAAACTTTACAACTTGAGTAATTGACATGACCATAATGAGTTAATCCAACTATATAATATATCTTTTTTTTCCTTCTCTCATCCTCTTTTTAGTTAGACCTTCATTGGGCCTTAATTAATCAAAAATTAGATAACTCTATAAGTAAATAAAAGAGTTATAAAAGAATTTAAGTTAAAAAATATGTCATATCATATTATTGATCTCAATCAA